CCTTTTACCAATCCTCCCCTTTCTAGAGCGATCTTAGAAAGTTAGTATGTCCATTGTTCCTTATTAACATGCCTACATTAGATTTTATTTAATATACTTGCAGTGCTGAACAAATTCATGGACACTTACAAAACGCACATTTCTTCGACCTTTTGCTGTCTTTCCGCAGTCACTTTGATGTCGAATGTCGATATTGTTTCAAACATGATATAACGGTTATTTGGGCTATGGTGTACGGAGAGTCAGCATTTGTTTCGTAATCAAAGTTATTGGCAAATGTAGCTGGAATGAATAAAATCTGCTAAGTGAAGTTGTACTGTTGTTAGCGGCTATTTTCTACTGGCCGCAAAGGGCCGGTAAGACTTGAATTTAATTAACGTTTCAAAGTAGCTCTATGTATCTAAATCCTAGTCACGTTTTGCTTTCACGTTACTAGACATATTTCGTTTCTTATTATAAAAAAAGTTAAGCTGAAATTAAAACATAAAATAGATGCACTGGCAACAGCAAACCATCTTATCTGTAGACAAACAAGATTTCAACAAGATCACCAGCATGTCAGGAGCTTTGTATGCATCGACCTTACCCCGCGCCCTGGTGGGGTCTGTTTATAACGCGACCTGGTGTGGGGGGGGCTATTTTTTGCCCCCCCCCCCCTCGTATCTCCGAAACTACTGGACGGATCCGCAAAATTCAAACGGCGTTCGAAAGGCCTGTCAAATTTGTCAAAGGAAACCAAATTTCATTGACCTCGGGGTCACCGATGACGTCACAGGTCAGGTCAAAGATGAAATGTTTCACCGTTCACGGGTCTTCTAGGGAATGCGCTATAACACCGAGGAAAACGCATTTTGTCGAGAATCAGCGATAGGGCGTCAGTTGCCTAGTAGATATGTTGCTATTAGAGGTCACTGACAACACCAGGTCAGGTCACAGGTCAGGTCACCAAGGGTCACAGGTCAGGTCACATGAGCCCAACTTTACTAAGGTTGTGTGATGCATGTTTTATGGCCAATTTTTCATTTCCAACTCAATGGTGCTGGTTAAAAGACTATCAGGTACGGCTTAGGTCACTTTCTGGTGAAGTTCAGGTCAAGGTCAGGTCAAGGTCAGGCCAAAAAAGGTCAAATTTTAAAGTTGATAGTTTTACATAAAATGGGTATTGATTCGATGCAGCTCGTCACGGGGAGTCTAATGGTGGTCTTTGTTTTGCGCTACGGGGTCTAGCATTGCTAAAAATTAAGTTTGAAAATTTGACGTCATCAATTTTGAACAGTTTTTTCGCTATAACCTCGCCAAAAAAGAGGTATCAATCTCAAATTTGGTATGTGGATGGAAGGCGGTGAGGACTATCACATATATTCCGGTTTTTGCGAAATTCAAAAAACTTTTTGGATTTTTCGACCATTACCCAGCCAGCAATTTTGCTCCGGGCCCAAGCAGGCTCAGGTGCGGATTGCCCGAGATTTTTAGTCGGGCTAAAGTCGGCTAGGGCTTGGGCTAAAGTCGGCGTATGACACAAAAACGCCGACTAAAGCCCATGCTCTGCCGTAGGTATGCCCGCTCTGCGAGATCCGGACAGCCGTAGTTTAGCCCTAGTTGGGCGACGATTGGCGTTAGCCCGATTTAAGCCCGAGCAGTGAATCCATTTATATAATGGAGATTACTCTGGGCCCGAGCGGGCTGAACTCCGGCCAATCCACTCTGTGTGCCCTGTCTATCCCGACTTAAGCCATAGAAGTGAATGGGGTTTATACATTGCAAACTGCTGTGGCTTTGCTCGGGTTCGGCTCGAGTGACGGCTCCTGTTTTCTCAAGTCTCGACTTGACTTCATCTTGCTTTTGCTTCACACTGGATCAAGTAGCAAGGAGCAGCCAATGCACTTTCAGCAGGTTGTGCGGTTTCAATGCATATTTAAAATTGTTACGGTCACTCATATGCTCTGTTAACCGGTCATCGAGCATTGCGAAAGGAAAGTAGTGGTTGACTTTGATTGAATGTATATTTCAAACGACTACAGACACGTCAAATGAAACACAAATACATGAAACAGTGGACTGCAAACTGCAGCAAAAATATGGCATGAGTCATAAAAAAGCGCCATCAAAACTATAAAACAATCACAAGGCCCGCTAGCCTCCCTCCCCGTTCATAATACCTACTTGGTTGAGCACTCAACCGAAAGCATAAAGTAAGGACAGCAAGAAATCGCTCATAAGGTATAAAGCAATTAGCAAACAATCGTTCAAGGAACTTCACTCTGGTGAATGGGAGCTTTGGAGGCGTCTGGCTCCTCCACACACAAACATCTGCAGTAGGTGGTCGGCCAGCTTTCGGCGCAGTTTCCGTATATGTAGGTATGCCTACTTAATTATAAGCAGGCAGTTTCCGCTAAACCACTTGGCGAGGGCGACTGCGGCGTCCACCCGGTCCTGGTTTGCATAACTATTCCATTTTTTTGAAACCATTTGCTCTAAAGGTACATACCTGAAAAAGAGATTAATTGATTTAATTAACATTGCATGTTTGCTTGAAAAATAATTTATTGTTGCATTAATAGGGTAAAAGCACTTCTCATTGATCCGTATAAAATGTTCATTCGATTTTCAACGCGGACAGAGAATGAGCGTGCTCGGTGATAAGTAGATAAATATTTGTGCTTTGTATTTCATTTTCCTGGTTCAGAAGTGCTGGTATTTCACAAAGATATAAAGGCACGCAATGCAGCTTTTCTGAGCGAGGGTATAAGTCGCCAGGCTGAAGAGCTTTTCAGCTTCATGTTTGATGGCGTGAAACTCAAAATCATGACGTTTACATACGATTAAGCGCACCATTTAATACACTTACCTACCGTAAAACTCCATGCCAGCCCACTTGATAAGAGCAGTGAGCACTATCCCTTCGCGCTGTCACACGCGCCCAAACATCAACCACCAAATGCCCCAACACCGGTGTGTGGTTTCGTCGCACAGCGCGCAGACTGTCACAAACGCTGCACATGATTGGCGCAGAACTGCGCATGCGCGAACAGCCGAACAAGTATGGCTAAGCTCCGGCTTTACTCCAGTTAGCCGAAGGACACAGCCAGCTTGATCAGCCCGCGCTCCGCCCAAGTTAAGCCTGTTTTGGATGCGCGGGCAGATGTCGGGCTGAGCTACTGCTATCCGCACGTGGGCATAGCTGCGGCATGCCCCAGCTCAGCCCTAGTAAAAATACATTGGTTTTGATCAAAGTGGGCAAACCCAAGCTAAGCCCAAGCTGCCCGACGTTTGCCACAGTTCAGCCCAAGCGAATTGCTGGCTGGGTATATGCAAAAAAATTATTTTTTGATTTTTGGGGGTCAAAATCCAAAAATTTCAAAAATCCGAGATAGCAGTTTTGTAGCCCTGTCAATTCTACAGCTTTTATGTCTTTATCATTTTTCTGTATTTGCAAAGCTATAGGCCTGACAGCTCTTCCCGCGAAACCCTTTTTTGGGTCGAAAACGGCAGAACATGACGTCACTCTGACGTCATTTCCGGCCAGCCTATCATAGCCTTTGGAAAAATGTTTGGTCACCATGTGTAAAATTGATGTCCGGGAGGGTACTGAAGGTTTGGTCACGATCGGCGCAGCGGTTCTGGAGATATATCGAAAAGTCTGGAGGGGGGGGGGCAAAAAATAGCCCCCTCCAACCAGGTCGCGGGTTACCCCGCGCCCCACTGCACTGGGGGAAAGCTATTTATAGCCCCCCCTCCCGTTTTTCTGCAATAACTTCCAAACCGCTTGACGTATCGACGCCAAACTTTCCGTACCTTCGGCTGCATCAATTCGACACCTTGTGTCAAAATTTGAGCTTCGTACCTACCATAGGTCGGCCGGAAATGACGTCAGAGTGACATCATGTTCGGCCGATTTGAACGCAAAACATTGAACCACGGCAATCGCTCCCAAGAGCTCAGTTTTTAAGCTAGATCCAATTTCTTTGCATTAGAGGCCTCAGAATAGACTGCGCTATCAAACTGCTATCTCAAATTTTCGAAATTTTGAAAATTTCGAAAATTTAATATAATAAAATTCAAAATTTATATTTTTACATTTTTTCCAAAAAGCTTTTGTATTTTCGAAAAAAACCGGAATATATGTGATAGAACGCATTATTATGACTATCTCTAGAAAGTTTAAGCTAAATATCTTAAAAAACGGCCAAGTTATACGCATTATTGCAAAAAATTCACAATTATTAATTTTTCAAATCAATTTTTCAGCACGTATTTGACATCGTACGCCAATATAAATAGCACCATCGTGTTCCTGAGCTCAAACTGCATCCAATAGACACATTTTTTTGTTGAAAAATTTTAACTTCAAAATTTGACCTTTTTTGACCTGAAAGTGACCTGACCTAAGCTAAATTTGACTCAAAATGACCTGAATGACACAGACGACATCAAATTTTTGGCCTAAATGGACCATAAAACATGTGTCACGTGACCGACGCGTGATATAATATTTTCGTGACCTGTGATGACCTGACCTTGACCTTAAAATCAAAGTACAAGTTTGGTACCCTTAGGGTATCTAGAGCATCTGTTCACGAGTGTGTGAACCAAAAATGAGCCTGATCTGACTTGTAAGACGGCGGCCAGAGCCCAAAACGTGAACAAGCCAAAATGCTAATAACTTTTACTTTGACCTGACCTGTGACGTCATCGGTGACCTCGAGGTCAATGAGATTAGGTTTCGTTCGACAGTTTTTCCGGGGCTATCAGACGCCGTTTGAATTTTGACGATCGGCTTAGTAGTTTCGGAGTTAGGAGGGGGCTATGAATAGCCCCCCCCCCCCCCAGTAGGGCGTGTTAAACGCGGACCCCAGTGGGGCGCGGGTTACCTGATTGTAGGCGATGCCTGATTGAGGCTTCAGCGACTGAAGCACGATTCAAGGAAGAGTATCTCTTAGTCGCGTAGCAGTTATTGTAATGAACCATGCGAGATTCGGCTAACCTCTCTAAAAAGAACATTTATTGCATCAAATGATCATCAGTGTATTTTCACTTGTTCAAAGTCAGACAGGTCAAGAGCACGGAAGAAAAGACATACTTAGTGGTAGTAGGCGGAGCGGTATCCGTATCCGTAGGAACGGGGAGCGTATCCATATCCGTAGGCGCGGGGAGCGTATCCATACGAGCGGGAGGCGTATCCGTAGCTACGGGGAGCGTATCCGTATCCGTAGGAGTTGTAGCCCAGAGAGCGGCGGTGGCGGCCGTGGTAGCCGTAGCTACGAGGGGCGTAGCTGCCGTAGCCACGATAGCTACCGTAGCCGTATCCGGCACGACGGTATCCGCCGTAGTGGGCAGGGGCGGAGCGGTATCCGGAGTATCCGTATCCGTATCCGTGTCCGCTAGCAGAGACAACAGCCACCAGGGCAGCCAGACACAGCAGCTGCGGGAGAGGGGACCATCCATTCATGTAAACAGCACGCGTCAATGCTTCAGGCATATGTGCATCTGTTAAAAACTTTTTAGAATCATGAAAAAACATTTATTTGTTTGAATATTGGTTTTATAATCAACCTCCCTCTCTTCTCATCAGATTCAGTCGAACTGCGAGCAACATAAAACCATTTACTCGCTATGGAGTCAGAGTGATGGCTGAAAAAGAAAAGAGCTTGACAAAGCCAGAAAGTCCAAGTCTCTCAAGCTGGATGCAGCGTCGGCGTCACTTACCGCAAGCTTGGCGTTCATCTCTGCAGTTTGGAGTTCTCCGGACGCTGGGAGGGTTGACCAGTGAGTGTGTGATTCTCACACTGTCTCCGGTGCTTTTATAGGGCGTCCGTTCCGTGGAGGTGCCCTTGAAGTTGGCGGCGTGGCGGTCCGTTCTGCGCTACTGACGCCCTGGGTGTGGTTTGCGGATCGCCCCGAGGCGTACAACCATGACTCGGCCGCTGCACCGCCGAGCAATTGACGGCTGGGACCCTGTCCTTCAGCGAGTCGGTACCTGGACGTCCAGGGGACTCATGGTGAGGTGTGGGAGCGGAGGGCATGGTGCATGTCGCTGCGGGACGTCTGACAATGGCGGCTGGCACGTAAATGTGCAGCGGTTCTTCCCCGAATGAATACCGCGAGCGATGGTCACTTGTCTTCACCAACGGGTGCTCTCTTGCATTACAGGAATCCACTTACATTAGAAAAAGTTAAATTTGTCTATATCGACACCGACTGAACGACTGCTTGAAACTTTGAGCGATTGATAAGAGCAACGCTAGGCATAAAATGCTTCCTCGGAATTCGGATAGTAATGACCAAAGGTCAGGTCAATTTTGAGGCTTTTCCATTATAAGTCAATGGGATACAAATTAACTGCGCTTTTGGGGGAGGAGGGGATCATGCTAAACACTCTGAAACAGCTGGTAACATAAAACATGATTTAATGGATCGGAAAATTGTAAATGTGACCCCTTTGTATGTACAGCCCTCAGCAGACTGCGTGGTAGGTATTCTTTCAAGATTCCTTTACTACTCAGGTTGGTTCACGAGGAAAAAAAGCGCCGTGGTGACGTCATCAGAGGAATTCCTTCACGTTCAAATGAAGGGGTCATTTGAATTGCTGATTTTGGCTCGATATAGTCCTATTTTTTTAGTTTCAGACCCATTTATCGTAATGAGGTGAAATCATTGTTACATTGGTACAACTTTTGATGACACATACATAGTCCTTGTTTTTTTTTTCTCCAGCTCGCTCGAAAGGTGATGAAAGTTGCATGCATGCCAATGGGTGAAGGGAGATTCTATCACCGTGGTGACGTCACGGTGAAGGGATTCTGGAGCTCGTGAACGGGGGCTGGTATTCTTTATTCGACAAGACTGATAATAACTCAAAAGCTATGTTATCAGTCGGTTGGAACTGACTGCAAATAGTTAGATGCGCCATGCTCCACTCCTTCGATTGGGTCTATCACTGAGCAAAGTATACGTCTTGTCAGGCAACAAAATGCAAAAGTTTTTTTGTGGGCAAAGGTAAACTTTTGGGTTTTGCTGCCAAACTGGATGGAAAATAAATACGATGATTATGCCAATCTAAGGTGCGGAGTCTCGCGCGTCTTGCTGTTACGATTTCCGAGTGACCCATAGCATAGGATTCGCGTTATTCTCGGTTTTGTCGAAAAAAGAATGCCTACCACGCAGTTTGCAGAGGGCTGTACCTGAGATCATATCAGGCCTAAATAGGTCTTTAACGAATTTTAACAACATTTGATGTGGACATGTTAGAGCAATGAAAGCTTGGATGTGGTCAGCTCAACGGTACGGATTGGCTAATATGCGACACGCCATTTTCCGTTCAAGTGATGACCTGAATTTTAGGTCAAAAATTTAATACGATTTAAGGTCAAATTGTTGTTCGTTCGCTGCGCCTCGACAGGATGAACATAATGCCGGTAAAATAATTGTGGTGCAAGCTTAGAATCAACACTTGTTGCAGACAAACATTTTCCGAGAAAACGTCAATTGTGGCAGCTCTTGCCCTCTGGAGGCTAAACCGTTGACTTTACCCCGCGGATGCCTTGAGGGGGAGGGGGTGGAAAGTGAGGCTCTACAAACTTTTTCTTGAGGCTCTACAAACGTTTTTCTGCAATATCTTCAAAACCACTGGGCGCATCGACACAAAGTTTTCAGAAACTTCGGCAGTGTCAATATGACACCTTGCGTTAGCAAAACTTTGTAGCTACTTTAGATTGGCCGGAAATGACGTCAGAGTAACGTCATTTTCGGCCCATTCGGGTATGGCTTCTACAATACGTCCATTAACCTTCGCCACCCGAGGAGCCGCACTCCCATAGGATTTTTCACGACAGCACGGAACATGCCGGCGATAGAGAGCTGAAACTTGGTATACCCGACCTATGATTCAAACTAAATATTTTGACAACAGCATCATTTTTAGCCCTCGCCGGCACTGGCCATTTTGAGTCCTTCGACGGCACAAGGGGGGGAGGTACAACCCCCCTCGCGTTTGGCCCCTGATGGAGCTAGAGCTTCGCGGAAAAAACGAACGTGTTGCCCGTCATGAGAGGAAGCCAATGATACCCAAGTTTAAGGACCTAGGTTATCGGTTGACCTTCCAGGTCTGGTCAATTCGGGAATATCGGGACCTGTTAGAAAGTCGTAAAGTGTGGCTGATTAGGCGTTTTGCGGGGTGCTGATCAAATATCGTGTTATAAATGGTTTTGATCACAGATGATGTCGTTAAGCGTTTAGACCAGGTCCGGTCAGGTCAGGTCTGGTCAACTGGTAGGGGTCGTGACGGGTATTCGCAGTACCTGTCATCCGCCTCTGACAGCTTCGTAACATGTTACGAAGGCACCAAAACTACTTCGTAAATGTTCAAATGGTTGCTAAATTCGAATTCAGCTCCAAAAACCATCCTAGCAACTGGTAAACTCGGAAAAGTGAACCGAGGTCACCAAAGGTCAATGACCTGACCTGACCATCAGGTGACCTTGACACCCACCCTAATGCATGGGAGCCATCAAATCACATGTTTGAACGTTTGAAACCACGAAAAGCTTGCAAACGCGCGACTAATGCGAGCCGACATACGCCGAATCGCGATTCCGGCCAAACATGGTCTCGGAAAAGAGGTCACAGGTCAAAGGTCATTTGGGTCAGGGTCATGAAATTTTCAGGGTAGGTGTAAACTTGATCAATGCGAGGGTACTGTAAGGTTTGTTGCGATCGGCCACTTTTTACGCGAGTTATTGTAGCGAGGGGATTTAGAAAAGAAAGAAAAAAAAGAAGGAATAAAAAAGCTGCATCTTCTTTGCGGTTCATCAAATACTGCGGTCCTCTGTCATTCAGCTGGTTGTAGCAGAGAGAATAATTCGCTGCTGTAATGCTGTCGGTAGTGGAGCTGGTGATACAGGGGAACCTGAGAGTCGTTGAAGAGATCCCGAGATAGATCTATAGAGAGATCCAGATAGTGATGAGATCCTGAGATAGATGTAGGTATCCTTATAGGGATCTGGATACAGATAGAGATGAAGATGAGATCCTGAGAAAGATCTTGGGATGACGTCCACCTGGGAGAGATGTAGATATAGATCCACCTTGCGTACAAATACATCTGATGGAAGATGCTTTTTAATTTAGAGGCTTGATGATTCTGTTCATTGTATAGACCATGATGCACGAGATGCTTCTTCACTGCTCGGATTTGGGATAGAGGGATCCGATCAGCTGGGTTTGCGGCACAGTTGGGCAGGTGAAGGACAGGGCATTCGAAGTCCCGATGACCACTGCCAAACATATGGGTGGTAATTACATTGATAAATTGAATGTGATCATTTGTCCAGTCACCCATTCCTATACTGGCCTTCCCATTAAGAAAATTGCCCACTTAATTCGTATTAGCGTTGCTAGTTTTAACTGCCCTCGAGAATCATTTGTTCGACTGCCGTAACCGAATTCTATCAAATTCCTATCGGCCTTATTCTAAGATTCATGCGTCGTCATTCTCACACCCTTGCTCGCATTACGTTTGCATTTCATGTATTCACCCAAATTTAATTGATAGCCCCCGAAATTCCCTCCGATAGTGTTAGGCGTCTTACAAACCAGGGTCTCCCCGGCGAGATAAATGTCTCATTCCGAAATCCATATGCATGCTCCGCTAACCGGCGACTAAGATACTTATCGCAGGGCCGTCCAGAATAATTGCACAAATATCCACCCTGCTAATTTATGGGATCCACTACACGTCCGATAGACTTATGGTACACATATACGCGGTTTACATCCGACTTATCTCTCTATCCGGGAGAGATTACCTATGCCCTCTTCCGGTCCGCGTGTAACACCTCCGTTCACGACCCAGGGACCACCGTTCATATCCTGGAACTCTCCTCAGGAACTCTCCTTAAACCATGGGATTTACTCTTCAAGGCCTTACGTGTCCTGGAGTACATTCTTCCCTCCCCTGAGGCTGTCCAGTACCGATTAAGGTACCTTTACAAAATAAGTATGAGGACTTATTCGGGACACTACGGCTCGCCTTATCCGCACTTTTGGGTGACTCACCCCTGACCCTCGGCTTCTTGCCTTTGGCATAACTTACTCTCCACTGCACACTGTGCCAATCTTCCCCTTCCCCCTGCCGTAGAAACCTCTCACTGCCTTCTCACCCAGTGTTACCTAAGCGGGAAAATTAACAGTGGCCGGTACCACTGGCGGAAAACGTGCATATGCCCTGCGTACGTGACGGTGTGTCCCTCTTATTATTCCGGTCTGGACGTGGGTTTAGAGAAGTGCATCTGTGTCTCATACAGTCATGCTGGTAAACATTACGCCATAGGAGACGGGCAAACAAGCCGTCTGCGCCTCACAATGCCCTGTGCCAATATTGGTGGAGTAATTATTGGCGCTAACTCGTAAGAACGCGAATAACAGAAACGCATTATTGATCCAACCTAATCGTAATCTCAAGTCCATAATTGCTGCTGCACGCATGAACCTAATCACTAGTTCTCGTATACACTCCTAGCAGACCTTGAACCGCTCTTGATTTAATCAGATGATCTAGAACCAATTAGTACGCACCGATCTGTCGTCTGGTTGTGATCCACCGTATCATAGTGAATTACTGAATGCTCAACGGAAATGACTCCTTGAAACTCGTTCGATAGCTTCTGATGGGCTACTAGTTACCTATACAAATTATCTTTATAGAGTGCCAGAATATTGTCATAGGGGTCCCTAGCCTTTGATAGAAAATATAATTTAAATCATCCTATTAGCAGTAAACAATGCACATCAAACGAAGTGCAGTCCTAAATATCAAATAGCATGTCATATTTAAAATTATGCATTAACTGTTTACGTTC